CCACGTCGAACGCCTTACTGAAGTCCATATAGGTCACATCCATCGCTCTGCTCTCATCAGTCCTCTTCGTTACTTCTTCAAAAAACTCAATCAAGTTCGTGCAACATGATTTCCCATAAACAAAGCCATGTTGACTATCCCTAATCAGTCCTTGCCTTTACAAATATATGTAAGTCATGTCCCTCAGGATTTGTTCTCACAACTTGCCCACCACCCGATGTCAGGCTCACTGGTCTATAATTCCCTGGCTTTTCCTTACTACTTTTCTTAAATAGTGGCACCATGTTAGCCAACCCCCGGTCTTCCAGCACCTCACCTGTGGCTGTCGATGATACAAATATCTCAGCAGGGACCCAATAATCTCTGTCCTTGCTTCCCACAGAGTTCTGGGGTACACCTAATCAGATCCCAGGAATGTATCTACCTTTGTCTTTTAAGCCATCCAGCATCTCCTCCTCTGTAATATGGACCTTTTTCAAGATGTCACTATTTAGTTCCCCACGTTCTCTATCTTCCATATCCTTCTCCATAGCAAACACTGAAGCAAAATACTTGTTTAGTATCTCCCCCATCTCTTGCAGTTCCATACACAGGCGGCCTTGCTGATCTTTAAGGGACCCTATTTTCTCCCGAGTTACCCTTTTGTTCTTAATGTATGTGAAGAATCCCTTCGGATTCTCCTTAACCCTATTTGCCAAAGCTATCTCATGTTCTCTTTTTGCCCTCCTGATTTCCCTCAAGTATACTCTTACTGCTTTTATACTCGTCTCGGGATTCACTCGATCTTTGCTGTCTATACCTGATAGATGCTTCCTTCTAATTATTGACCAAAACCTCAATTTCTCTAGTCATCCAGCATTCCCTACACCTACCAGCCTTGTTCTTCACCCAAACAGGAACAAATTATCTCTGGACTCTTGTTATCTCAGTTTTGAAGGCTTCCCATTTTCCAGCCGTCCCATCACCTGCAAACATCCACTCCCAATCAACTTTTGAAAGTTCTAATTCTGTCAAAATTGGCCTTCCTCCAATTTAAAACTTTAACTTTTAGATCCATCTATCCTTTCCCATCAGTATTTTAAAACTAATAGAATTATGGTCACTGGCCCCAAACTGCTTCCCCACTGACACCTCAGTCACCTGTCCTGCCTTATTTCCTAACAGTAGGTCACATTTTGCACCATTCTATAATTTATCAATGATGTGCAAGACACCTAATGTCACTACCATAGCGAATTAAAATTTTTAAGACTCAATCTGTAATATTTACAAATAACAAATGTTCTGTAAAAGCCAGGAATGAAATACTCATGCCAAGTTAAAAATTACTTTCCACAAACCAACAAATCTAAGAAGTTGAACATAATTTTAAAACATGTCAGGAGAGGCCAGCTGTAGCTTGACATATGTGGGGAGCCCTGGATGCTGCCAGTCTCCTAAATGACCATGTGCAGGAAGCGCTGCCAGCTGCAGGAGCTGGTGCTCTGGGTTTCAGAGCTTGAGTAGCAGCTGGAGACACTGGTGCAGCTGTGAGGCTGAGAGTTACGGGGATAGCATGTTTTTAGAGAGGAGATCACACCATAGCTCAAAGGACTAGTAGAAAGAAGAGAATGGGTGACCACCAGACAGTCCAGACCATTTTGGATGCTGGTGTGGTTGCTGGTACCTCGGATGAGTGCAGTCAGAGCCAAGGAAGCAACTTGACTGCACGTGTGTGTGTGTCTTGAGCAAAGGATGGTATGTTACCTCCTTGGTGCCAGGGTCATGAGAGTCACTGAACGCTGCAGGGCATCCTGAATAATGAGTTAGATATTTGATACGTTAGTACCAATGATATGGGTAAAGTGAGGAATGAGGTCTTGCATCAAGAATTCATGCAGCTGGGCAGTAGATTAAAAAAAACGACCTCAATGGTCGTAATCTCTGGATTACACCTGGTGCCATGTGCTAGCAAGCATAGAAAGAGGAAAAGAGGACAGATGAATGTGTGGCTCAAGAGTTTAATGCAAGAGGGAGGGTTTTAGATTCCTGGATCACAGGGACCACTTTTGGGGAAGGTGGGACATGTACAAATGGGAGGGTCTGTACCTCAACCGCACTGGGGCCAACATCCTTGCAAGTAGGTTTGCTAGGGTCGTTGGGAGGTGTTTAAACTAGTCTGGCAAAGCACTACAATATAAAAATACAACTCCCAAACTTCTCTGTCCGGTCTCTGACATTATCTATGCAGTCTTTCACAGGTATTTATCCAAGGCTGGTATTGTGGCTTTTACTCTACTAGCCTTAACTGTCTATGTCTCATTTGTTATCCAGTATTTGTACATCCGTGGTTCCCATTTACATTCTATTACTGACAATATGCCAAAAGCATTAACCCGTCCAGAATTTGAAGATTGCTTTGAATGTTGCTAAGAGTTTTCTGGAAGTGGTAGATATAACAGTGGATTGTTTGAAATCTTTGACTTAAACTAAACTAAGAAATTTAGCAGATAAATTTAAGGTAAAAGTAAAAGCAGAATCCTGTAAGGATGAGATGATTCAAGTAATTAAATAACACTTAGAATTGGAAGAAAGAAACCTGAAATTGTGATGTTATTCCTGAAATTAGTTAAGATAGAGTTAGAAATGACAAGACTTATTTCAAGAAGACAGAAACAGAGAGATATACAGCTATGATACGTTGAAATGAAAAGAGAGATGGAATTAAAATAACTTAAAATTCAAAGAGATAGGGAAATTAGAGAACATGAGCCAACCATGAAACATTTAAACAGCAAAGAAAGATAGAAGAGTTACTAGTTTTAGAAAATAGACAGAAAGATACAAAAGTAATAAAGGAGAAAGGTTTGAACCAAAAAGTGATAG